AGCCTCCTTTTCTCGCCTTATCGAAGCAACCACCAATTTACGTAATCTTGTATAGTTTTGCCAGTGATTAATATTTTTAGTCTTTTTATAGATACTTAGCGCAATATCTCTGTCCTTCATCATTTGTTTTATGGCATTGGTAAGCCATGGTGAATACGGGATGTTTTAAGTGGTGTATATTTATCAAATAAGTACAGTACTGTCTAAGACAAGAAGTAAATTTTATCATTAATATCCCTAAAGTATAACAATTCATCCCATCTAATATTGTTTAATTCGGTCCAAAATAGTACATATGAAAAATCCCTATAACTTCTATAGGTTACAATTTTTGGTTCTGCACGTATAACTTTAGTTTTAAGTTCACAAAAAATAATACTATGATCTGAGATAGAGTCAGAAGATAATATACCAGAAATAAGCAACATATTTGAATTGTTAAAAAATATAACATCAATGATTTTCTCAGTAGTAACAGTAACACAAGTTGGCTCAGATACGTATTGTTTAAAATTGAATGAAGCAAAACAATCCGACACTGGATTTTCAAAAGTTTGGTCCACATTTATATCGCCCATAAATAAAATATTGAGGAACAGTGAAAGATAAAATATCATAAATATGTTTAACAAAGCAATTTACATTACTATTAGGTACTCTGTATAATACACAAATAAGCAACTTGATTTTGCCAAGTCCTACAGTTAAAAATAATTGTTTAACACCCTCTATAGGATTAAAATCATTTAAAACTTGTGTACAATTCAAGCTACTTTCAACATAGATACCCACACCCCATCCACGGCCTAAGCGATCTTTTCTGAATAATTCAAAATTAGGTATACTTACAGTTTTTGAGTCCACATTTTCGTTTAACCATGTTTCTGTCACACAAAAAATATTAAACTTATAATATGAAATTAAATTACAATTTTATGCAACGTTAGTTTAAACTGGCTTCTGAAAAGGAATATTTTAAAACAATATATAACCTTTGCTTCCTATTAAGTATGAATTGGTTTTTAATTTACGCTTGCAAGTCAACTAAATGATTTATACCTAAAATAGACAACTAAAACTAGTGCCAACCAACTCCGTAAAGAAATGAAGCAAAAATGTCATCATGTTAGTTGAACCTAACTTTAAAATGATGTGACAGAATATTTAGAAATTCTTTAATTAAATGCTTAAAAAAACAGTGTATAAAACTCGTCAAAAGCTTATTAATTGCCTCGCACACAATTTACTGAGTGAAATGTATGCTTGGCGATAATATGTGCTTTCTCCGCCTGGTCTATAATGTACTATTTTACACTCACAAATTATTTTGCTGTGGCACAAAAACTGTTTATAGCATATTATTCACTATTGTCAACTGTTGACCTACATGAGGCACGGGTTAACAACATCTGATCAGTGTAAAATTTGACAGGGCTTTATATATGATCAAAAGGAAAAAATTAAGGGGGTGAGAAAATTTAAATTCAGAATTTAAAAAATAAGGACCACCCTAACCTATATGTTGAAAAACCAAAATGAATCAACCCAAATTATTGTGTTTTTATATTTTTTTGTGTGGACCCACCCTCGTACTTTTTTATATTCAAAATAACCCCCCTACTGCGTGGCATCCTGATGGTGCGCCGTTTTCTAGATATTTTAGATTTTTTTCCTATAAAATTATAAAAAATCGTTTTTAAAATAAGTGAAAAGATTTTGTTTTTTTACATACAAATAATAATATAATGACAATATTTTAAAAGTATGTTTTAAAATTTTTGATAATTATTATTGTAAACAAATGCAGGTAAATGTAATTATATCGTTTTAAAATATCCTATCTTTGACACGTTATTTTTATAAATAAATATTAATTAATTATTATAGACAATCTTATCCAATTATATGCGATTGCTATTAAATTAAAAAGAAAATCTATAAACTGGTATAATGAAATTATTTAATTTTAGTTAGAGTGATACGGGCTTTAAATAAAATCGTTTTAATCTTAATCACTTTTTGCTCAGTGCTTAACCAAGATTTAATTCGTTTGTAATTGAATCTATTGATTTAGCGTTTTAAAGGGTGCAAAAGATCAGTGGTGTCGAATAAATAGGCCATCAGAATGACAGTGTGGGAACACGACTATTGTAAAAACATATGGCGCGTGCTGTAAGCGTTGAATTATTATTGTAGGGACTTTAGCCGTATCTTCAAAAGAAATGCAGATGAGAAAATAAAATCCAGATACTGATTCTGTATAAAAAGGTGTAAATATGGTGGTATAAACAATAAAGCCCATTTCTTAGTACTCTATTATTGGAGGAAATATTTAACTATTGGTGCCTTCCTTGGGCCGAACTTGTTTATTTAATGTCATTATAAACTATTATAAATTTGGTGTGGGTCCCATGTCTAATAACTAAGATATTGGTATACATAAAATCCACCAGCCGCCACAAATTGGACTAAAATCCTTTCTCTATTAATATTTCATATTTTTTCCACCCTTACTTCCCAAGAAATCCCAGGAGCCAGTTAAATGGCTTGAATGACACAATAGGACAAACACAAATAAACAACTATACCAATATGGGACTCGAACCCACGACCTCTTGGCTTGTAGTCAGCAGCACTGACCACTAAGTCCACCGTCGGCGGATTAAAGAATTTGTGCCTACATTATTTTATGGTTATTACACGGTAAATTTTTTCTTGAAAACTAATGATTAAATAAACATTAAATTTAATTATAAAATAATTTTAAAAGAACTAACATTAAATAACGTAAACAAAAACAAAAATAATTTAGATTAGCAGTTGAAAGTGGCCACCACCTGCAAGTATGCATGCTTCAGCTCTTCTCCTCATTGCAGTCCCCATTTCAGTCTCCAGGCACGGGAATTTTTAAATCAACATTAAAGAAATCGCTGGATCGGGCGCGGAGGAACACAATCGTGGCCACCTAGATCGCCAGACCTAAACAGTCTAGATTTTTTCCTATGGGGACATCTTAAGGCGTTGGTTTACAGCACCCCAATAAATACTGAGGAGGAGTTGAGAAACCGCATAATAGTTTGTTGTGACATTATCAGAAATACTCCAGGAATTTTTCTAAGGGTACGAAACTCAATGAGGAGAAGAGCTGAAGCATGCATACTTGCAGGTGGTGGCCACTTTCAACAGCTAATCTAAATTATTTTTGTTTTTTTTACGTTATTTAATGTTAGTTCTTTTAAAATTAATTAATAATTAAATTTAATTTTAATGTTTATTTAATCATGGCATTGTTTTCTCAATATGCGCATTAAATACTTTTTTTTTTTTTCATCGAAAACCGTTAGTCGTACGAAAAATGTTCAAGAAATAAAATTTGCCCTAAAATGAATGGGGATTTAAAAAATAATTTTTATTTTGAAAAATAGCAGTGGCGTGCATAATATTTTTCCAAAAATATCTAGACCACATCCTGTACGGACGGCACTGGTAAAAAAAAATCTTCTACATCAAAAACTTACTGTTAATGCTTAGAAGGCGTGTGCCAAATTTTATAAAAATATCTAGGGATTTATTAAAGTTATGATAAAAAAAACGATTTTTTTCTTAAAACTTTAACACCCTGTAACTCAAAAATTAAGAGGTTTAGGTCATAGGTTTATTTGAAATTCTTAAAATCAACTAAGGATTCACACCCTTAAGGTTCAGCATCTTATTCTAAAACACCCTGTATATGCGGGCGGTAGAGAGTGACCGAATATGAAATACCATTTTGTTATTTGAACAAAAAAAATCGTTTAAATAATTAAATAGGTAGGTACTTTTTTGTAGTCAGTCGTACGTTTAGCCATCACATTACTAATAGTATTATATTTTTATTATTAATTAACATTATCAAAATTAAATTAAATTAAATTAAATTAAATTAAATTAAATTAAATTAAATTAAATTAAATTAAATTAAATTAAATTAAATTAAATTAAATTAAATTAAATTAAATTAAATTAAATTAAATTAAATTAAATTAAATTAAATTAAATTAAATTAAATTAAATTAAATTAAATTAAATTAAATTAAATTAAATTAAATTAAATTAAATTAAATTAAATTAAATTAAATTAAATTAAATTAAATTAAATTAAATTAAATTAAATTAAATTAAATTAAATTAAATTAAATTAAATTAAATTAAATTAAATTAAATTAAATTAAATTAAATTAAATTAAATTAAATTAAATTAAATTAAATTAAATTAAATTAAATTAAATTAAATTAAATTATTTTTATTTTTTTCATCGAAAACCGTTAGTCGTACGAAAAATGGTCAAGAAATAAAATTTTCCCTAAAATGAATGGAGATTTACGAAACTCAATGAGGAGAAGAGCTGAAGCATGCATACTTGCAGGTGGTGGCCACTTTCAACAGCTAATCTAAATTATTTTTGTTTTTTTTACGTTATTTAATGTTAGTTCTTTTAAAATTATTTTATAATTAAATTTAATTTTAATGTTTATTTAATCATGGCATTGTTTTCTCAATATGCGCATTAAATGCTTTTTATTTTTTTTATCGAAAACCGTTAGTCGTACGAAAAATGGTCAAGAAATAAAATTTGCCCTAAAATGAATGGGGATTTAAAAAATAATTTTTATTTAAAAAAATAGCAGTGGCGTGCATAATATTTTTCCAAAAATATCTAGACCACATCCTGCACGGACGGTAAAAAAAATCTTCTACATCAAAAACTTACTGTTAATGCTTAGAAGGCGTGTGCCAAATTTTATAAAAATATCTAGGAATTTATTAAAGTTATGATAAAAAAACGATTTTTTTCTTAAAACTTTAACACCCTGTAACTCAAATTTTTTTTTTCTTAAAATTAACTAATGATTCACACCCTTAAGGTTTAGCATCTTATTCTGAAACACCCTGTATAATTTTTATTTAAATTAAAATGTCTAATTTATACCTACATATTTAGTATTTTGTTTTGTTTTAGCTGTTCAGCATGAAAGAGGTCCACGTAAACCAAAGTTATCGCAATCTTCAAATACACATAAAAATATTCCTTTGGGCCATCAAAATTTTCATCGGCTACATAGTGTTGATAATAAATTACATACTAATACAGGAACATTTTCATTTGGATCAGGCATTTTTCCACAACATTTACAATCTTTAAAATCTTTAACGTTACCGCAAACAGTTTCCACAACCAAACAAATTGATTCGTTACAATCTTCTACATTTCATTCTTCAGATTTATCACCACCTGGACTTTTTCATATACTTATGTCAGCCGAAAGATGTCAGGTTAGTAGTCATATAAAAATAATAATAATTTTAGTAGTCATGTTATTATTTATGAACCAAATAATAAATAAATATTTATAATTTTAGGAAATTGTATGGGGAAACAAAATAAATGAAATTGATTCCTTTACAAATGAAACTAGTCAAGAACTTAAACCTTTGACTTCAGAATTATCTTTTTCTTCAATCGGTACGGGCCTTAATTCTTCACCCTTATCCCCAACTTGGGATATGTTACAGGTAATTGTATATTTTTAAGGGCTTTTAAACTAAAATAAAATAATATAATAATATCTTTATTTAGCTAGTTTGCTATATACAAGAACAAAAATATAACAATATATATAAAAGTGTACGAAATTATAATAATTTTTTTTATACACATATGCAAACAATCATAAAATATATAAAAGTTAACAATAGAACATAAATACAGCAATGATAAAAAACAACAGTATTAACAAGAGCTCATATTAAATTTAAAATATAAATTCAAAACACAGCGGATACAAACATAATAGATAAATAATATCCTATGATTCAAAGACATGTTTTTTTAAAAGATTTTTAAATGACTTTAAATTATCACATTGTTTAATTGAATACGGTAGTCTATTAAAATTTATTAAACCAATTGAAAATATAGATTGACTCATTTGCGTTGTTCGATATAGTTTCACATTAAAATTTTCACAGTTTCTGGTATTATATGGGTTTGACACAAATTCTAGCTTATTGTATAAATAATTAGGTAACAATTTGTTCTTAACTTTAAATATAAATAAATATGTATTGTACATAATTCTTTGTTTTACACTCATTAAATTTAGGACATTCAACATTATTTTTGTAGGGGTATATCTATTGCATTTCAATATAGTCCTCATACATCTATTTTGTAAACATTTGCAATGTTCTTGTATTCTGTATGCCGGTAAATTAAACAATATTGTTGAACAAAAGTCAATATGGGGTGCTATAATTGATTTGTACAGTTGAAGTTTTGTAAATGTGCTCAGATTTTTAGCAATTCTAGTTAAAAAGTATGATTTCCTTGACAGTTTGTTTATTATATACAATGAGTGGCTTTTAAAATTTAAGTTTTCGTCCAACAAAACACCTAGGTACTTCATTTCCCTTGAAAAGGCAATTGGAGTATTATTTATTTCAACTTTCAATTCGTTTCTGTTAATTTTTGAAATTTTGTTACTGTTCCCAAATAAAATACCTTTAGTTTTGTTTACATTTAAGCATAGTTTATTTTCACAAAGCCATGAATACATTTGCTTTAAATCTAAGTTCATTTTTTTTACCATGTCCTCAATATCATTTTCTATTATGTACAACATGGTATCATCAGCAAATAATAATAATAATAATAATAATAATAATAATAATAATAATAATAATAATAATAATAATAATAATAATAATAATTCATTTATTTGCCCAACGGAGTAAAACTCCAATAACAGAACAAAAATATAAATAAGGTTTACATTTCATTTACTAAAAATAAAACTACCTAATACTAAACTACAAAAAAATTAAAAATAAGTCCTTGCCACCCTAATAATATTTAAACTAGTAAAAAACAAATCACAGTCATGACTAATACAGTTATAATTTCTTGACATGGTAAACACTGGTGATTTAATTAAGGTTATTGTTCGTGCATTGTCAGAGTAGAACATATCACTAGATCGAGAATTAGATCTGGGTACATGAATATTAAATAGAAATAAAATATTGGCCGAATCAATTTGGTTATTAAAAAGCTTAAATAAGAAATAGACTCATTTCAACATAGCTCACACTTTTTACAATATCATTTATAAATAAAGTAAATAATATTGGTCCAAGGACAGTTCCCTGGGGAACTCCATGTTCGGTTTTAGTTTTACTAGATAGCATTCCATTATATTTAGTTATCTGGTACCTATCACTTAAATAATTCTTAAACCAATTTATCACAGATCCATTCATTCCGATTTTTTTCAACTGTCTGTCAATTGTCTCGAAAGCTCTTTTAAAGTCTAGGAACACTGCCAGTATAACTAAATTTTTATCTATACTCTTGATCCAAGTATCACAGATCTGCATTAATACTGATTCACATGAATGACCGACACGAAAACCTGATTGATTTGATACTAACACATTGTTTTTATCACAGAAGCTGACTAGTTGGTCTTTTACAACACTTTTACAACACTTTTCTCATAAACCGGCACTATATTAATTGGTCTAAAATCTATACATTCACTTGCTTTCGCAACTTTTGGCACAGGTACTAGATGTTTTCCATTTCGCTGGAAATTCTCCTTCCGCTAGTGAGCAGTTTATTACATCTAAAAATCTGTTTGCGATTACTTCGAACGCACTTTTAATTACTTTAGATGACAATCCATCTTCGCAGCCCCCGGTGTTTTTTAATTTCGACATTATTTTCTTCAATTCTTGCATTGTCACCATTTTAAATCGAGTAAAATTTTCCGCAGACGAAGTTATTTTTTCTAAGATGTGTTCGTGCACATTTCTTGGGTTTAAATTTTTTACCAAACTTTCAATGCTATCCACAAAGTATTTGTTAAAGTTTTCACAAATTGATTTATTATCTTGTATTAGTGTGTTATTGAAAATAACACCTTTTTCGTTGACAGACTGAATTTTGTTTGGTAGAAGCGTTTTGAGGTTTTTCCACATTTTTTGAGGGTTCTGCTTATTGTTATCAATCAATTTTACAAAATAATCGTTTTTTGCTTCTCTGATTTTAGAAACTACAGTTGTATTCATTAAAAAAGCGTACAAGAATTAGAATGAGAAAAAACTGTCAACATTATTGCGTAAAACCGGCTTTCCACTGACTTAAGTCACTATAACTGACAGTAGAAAATAAAAATGCCTCGTCAGTTAAAAAGGCTCAAATAGTATCAAGAATCGAAGAAGAATGGTCAATTCGTACTGTGGTATAATAGAAATAAAAAATCTATATTAAAAATTAAGCAACGCTGGGAGCAGGAAGATTTACTAAACCAAAAAGTTGGTTCACAGGTCGTCCCAAAATGTCCACCCTCGAACAGGATGCTGCTTTTTTGGGATATCTGAGGATTTATGGGAAACTATACAACTATACTATACCTACTATTAATCCAAATATTGTATTAAATTTAATTCAGTTCATCCCAAATAGATTGGCTCAAGTAATAGAAAAACAGGAATGCATGACTAAATATTAAATATGTAATGTTTGTTTTTTTTCATTTCTAAAAGGTAATAATTTTTGTAATATTATTTAATTAACCTACGACGTCAATGCTCTTTATAACCTATAGTAATTATTTTAATGACTTATGTCAGTGATAAGCCGGTTTTAAGCAATAATATTATTTTGACAGTTTTCTCTCATTCTAATTCTTGTACGCTTTTTTATTGAATACAACTGTACATTGTTTCTAGCGACTTTGTATATTTCCCAGTCTTCTGTATTTCTTGTAATTTTTGCCGCTTTATATTTTTTATCCCTTTCCTTCATTAAATGCATTATTTCCTCAGTGATCCATTTGTTTGTTGTCTGTTTTTGATTAATTTTAAATTCTTTGATTGGACAAAGAGTGTTGAGTTCCGTTTCTAGGCTACATATGAGATTGTCTGCGTGAATATCAATGTTTGCAATAGAGTTGTTCCAGTTCCAATGCAGCAAGTTTAATTGAAACCTAGTTTCGTTAATTGTGCGCATACACCTCTTTTTTATATGCAACGTTTTATTTGTTTTGTTTACTTTACAGTTCAAAATATCGATATTGATAATCAGGTGGTCGCTGATTCTTGGTGTATTTAGCACTTCTGCTCGTATATTGCTATTATTTGTAATAACGTAGTCGATTAATGTCGAACTAGTTGCTGTAATCCTTGTTGGGTCATTTACTATTTGTTTGTATCCTGTTTTGTATATTATATTTTTTATTCTGTTGCTGTAATATGTATCTTTGCTTAAATCATAGTTAAAGTCGCCAACAATGACTTTGTTTTCACTTCTTTCATTTAGATCCTGTAGGTAGTTTTCTATGAAACTTAAAAACTTGCTGTCTTCTTTGTTGGGTGGGTGGTATATAACACTAAACACGAATTTTTTGTCCGTTATTATATTTGTTACATCAATGGATATTTGCCACAAGTAATTGCCCCCCTGTATACTTTGTATGTTGTAGTTTATACCAGTTTTGATGAATATTAAGACGCCCCCAGTCACGGCGTTCTCTATCCTCTAGAGAACGCCGTGCCCCAGTTCGAGAATTGTGTGTTGTGCATTGTTCCATATTATAGCCAGTGATATACAGTTCACAATCTAGGATATCCTTTCTTATATGTGTTTCTGTGAGACAAATTAACATAGGTTTGTGGTTTTCAATTAATAATGTAATTTGGTCGCGATTATTAAGAAATCCTTGGCAATTGAAATACATAACCTCTTTTTTTTCACACTTGACTGTTGTTGATATATTATTTTCAAACTTTTTTTTCTGGTTTTCCATAATTCTATACAGCGTTTTACATTCTTTGCTCCACACAGCATGTTCTACTTGTAATTTCAGGTTGTACTGTTCGTTTGCAGAAACACAGTTGATGCATTTCTTAGATTGTGACTCACAGTTTTCCTTTGTATGATTTCCGCTACAAATTGGACAACACCGATTTACACTCTTTATTTAAATGGCCATATTTACAGCATTTAAAACAGCGTATTATGTTGTATTCATTGGTGAATTTGCATATGCTCCATCCTATTGCTAATTTTTCATTATTGATAATTTGGTTGTAAGCTTCTTTATTCGTTTCGATTATAAAATTGAACCTCTTTCCTTGAATACCGGTTTTTCTAACGATTTTTATGTCTGCTTGCTCTTCCTCAATTTTATTTTGTCGAATTATTTTGTTTATCATCTCTACTTCTCTATTATTGTGTTCGCTCTCATGGATATTAAAAATCTTTACCCTGTTTTTTCGCAATGTTGGTTTTACCACTTCATATTCCTCTCCCATTTTATTTTGCAATATGTTTTGAATTTCATCAATCTTTTTATCGTTGTTACAGTTTATTAGTAAACCTCCATTCTTCACATTTCTCCCCATCGACAATCCTGTTTGCATTTCCTCCGGTTTTACATTTTTGACAACGTCCTCTCTCGTTTTAACACTATCCTCAGTTGCATTTTTTGATTTAAAAATTAAAACATTTGATTTTAACGCCTCTGCAT